CATTACTCTCACATCAAGTAAATATTAAATATAATGGTAATATCATGTCAACATTATCGATCAATAATAAAATACCAAGTTAATAAGGTGAACTTCACTCGAATAGTTATTTACTTACATGAAAGAAAAATTGGTAGTTATTTATTTAATAGAAGATTAATTATTAATTTCATTGGAAGCTATTTACTTATTTATTTTGATATTATTGATTAGTGACATGTTAGCATTACCACAAGGTATGACCGGTGTGATAAATATTTTTTGAAAAATTTTTAGCTACACCCTTTCTAATTTACTATATTCTCAAGAACACCCATTTTATTATCAAAATCATCACTGACATCTCCTTCTAATTTATATTTAAACATTACTGACAACCTCTGTCATTAAATTACCATGTATAACAAAAAATATTCATCTAAAATACAAAAAATGTCCCTCCATAAACCCAAAAAAATCTTTTTACATACAATTTGATTAAAATTCGAGTCGATTAAAATTTATTTTTCTACATATTAAAATTCGAGTTGATTAAAATTTATTTTTTTATAAATTAAAATTTGAGCTGATTAAAATTCAATTCGAGCTGATTAATTTTTTTTTCACGTATTAAAATATAATCCTATTAAAATTTATTTATTAAAAATTAAGCCGATTTGAACTCTACAGGAGCTGTAAGCACCGATTAAAATTCTTTTTGAATCAATTAAAATTTATATTTTTTTACTTGTTAAAATTTGATTCGATTAAAATTTATATTTTTTATTTCTCAAAATTCGTGCGAAATAAAATTCAATGGAAGTTGATTAAAATTTGATTTAAGCAGATTACAAATATTTTTAATTGGGTCAAATAAAATTTTAATCAGATCAAATTTTAATACGTAAAAAATAATAATATTTAGTCGACTCAAATTTAATACGTAAAAAATAAATTTTAATTGGCTCAAATCAAGTTTTAATCGGTTTGAATTTTAAAATGTAAAATTTTAAAAAAGATAGAGTGAGTCTTATCGAAGATATGTTTATCTAAAGGAGGTATGAATGGAGTTTTTCCTATGATATATCACGGATAATTTAATAAAATTATATTTTAGTTAATATTTTTAATCTGGTGTTAGTAAATATTTAAAAAATAGAAAGATAGTAAATATTTAAAAACTAGAAAGATATCTTTGAAGATATCGTACTCTAAAAGTGGGTGGGGCTGAAATTTTTCCATATTTTTTTCCTCACAATGGCATCCTCTTTATAGGAGAAAGAGCCGCAAAAAGCGGACACGTTTTCTGTGGGACCCCTATATTGACTCCTTGTGCCTCGAAGTAGTTGTGATTTGGATTCGCTCACAGCTCATTCTTCCAAAACCTGAATTTAATTACTACTAAAATATTGTCCTTTGCATTATTTTCCCTCCATGTCTACTGCTTTGTTGTCTGTTTACACATTATCCAGAGTTCAGGGCACCCAGTAAAGGGAAAAGAACAAAAACAAAAAGAGAAAAAAAGGCAAAAGCAAAGACATCAGAGCATTGGTTATAGGGTGCAAATATAATATGCATTTATATACTTATAATTATTTATTAAAAAAGTAAAAATAAAATAATTAAAAAATCCTGTTCAAAAAATAAATAAAAAATAAATGCATATTATATTTTACTTGTTTAAAATTCATCATTTAATTCATATTTTTTTGTTATATTTTATTATCAATCAAGTATTTTCTCATAGAAAATGAAACGCAAGGATTATTCTTATGTTGATTTATTCATTTTCTATCACACTTTTACTCATACAAAATTCAAATTTTACGTGTCACATCATTATCATATCATTTAGTTTACAGTTTTGGTCACTTTTTATTTTATTTTATTTATCAATCTAGTATTTTCTCTAAAAAAATGAAATTCGGGGTTTGTTCTTCTTTTGATTCATGCATTTTTTTGTAATAGCTTTGGACACTTTCTTCATTTTTGTGATATAAAGTTATCCTATTTGAAGCATGATATCTAGTGTGGTCATAAACATAATTGTTTGAAGAATATGTAGTGATTAAATGAAAATTCCTGCACATTGTACAAGGCTTTTGCATATAATGAAATTGAGGAAACAAGTGATTTGATTCTTGAACTCAAAATCGCGATGTTTTAATTAACCAATTATTAGCACTTTAGGTACTAGTCTTTAGTTAGTATTCTACTATTAGCAATAACCAGTGCATGAAGTCATTTTGAAATATTAAAAATTAAGTATATTAATTGTACTACATTATATTTTTATAGTAATTTTTTTTAATTATATAATTTAAAATTAAAGTAAATTGAGAGAAAATAAGAGAGAGAGAGAGAGGTATGCATGAATTAATAGAGTTGTTTGAGATTGCAAGTTGTGTAAAGAATATGATGTTTTAAGCGAAAAAAAAAAAAAATTGAGATAAATTTTGTACCATTAAATCGAAATAGATGAAAATTGAATCATTTTTTGCTATTATTTTATTTTTATAATTTAAAATTTTAACTTCCTAACTGTAATATTAGATAAAATTTTCTTATATAGTACTATATGTAAATTCCTTTCCTTATTATGAGTATTGAATTTTCAAATTTTAACAATAGGTGAACATTTGAAATTAAAATTTCCTAAATTATTTTTTAAATATTTCGTAAGTTACATGAACACTTAATAAATACGCATTCCTTTTAAAGCATTCTAACATTGGGATTGTAGGTGAAGAATTGTGTTGGTTGCCTTAAAAATAGGCTTAATGTTCCTAATGGCAATAATTGCACCCAAGTTATTGGTGGTTGGAATGACAACCTTTTTCAAACAATCCTTTCACTTCACTTTTGATACCTTAGTCGGACACGGGCCAAGCCAATTTAAAAAATTTCAAAACTCATTATAATACAAAAAAAATATTAGGGGTAATCATTATACTATGTTAGTAGTGTCATACCGTGTAGTCGTCTACTAATAGATAAATAAGTTAGTAAACGAGCATCTACAAAACTCAAAACCACCGATCCATGTAATACATAATCACCTAATAGAAAATGAGTCCTATTTTATTTATTTGATGGTTACACTCAATATTTACTCTATAATGTGAACCTCATATTTAGTAAGATAAAATCCCTGCCCCCCAAAAAAAGATTAATTCGTACAAATATTGTAGATCGATATATTAATAACTAAAATGTTCCCCTCTAAAATTCCCAATAGAACGTATGAGAAAGTAAATAAAGTTGCATGGACATAATTTTTTGACTTAATTTATTAGTATCATTGCATTAACAAGGAATTTCATATTGGAATCATAATAAACTTAAATTTAAAGAGTTGTCTATGGTACTGATTTTGTCAAACAATCCTTTCACTCACTTATTATCACGATAAAAATAATAAAAACACCAACAAATATGGTAAATTACCCATAAAAGTAATAATTTTTTATATATCGAAGAAAAATGGTAAAAATAGTTACCACAATAATGATAAAAAATATTCAAAATAATGGTAAAAATTTGCACAAAAGTGATAAATTAACCATAAAAAAAATAATTTTTTTAATTATAAATAACCCACAAAAGTTATAAAAATACCCATTAAAGTAATAAATTTAGAGTTACAATACTAAATATTTTTTTTATACAATAGCCAACTCTTAAATATAATAAGTAATATTATAAAATTCAAATGAAACCCACAAAATTGTAATTCAAATGTAAATCATTTATTAGATGAATGAGTCTTATTAATTTTTTCAGTGAATCTCACTCATCTCACACTCGTTAATGGAATGGTAGTATATTTTAAATTTAAATGAGACTCCTAGTGACTCCCATCACAATAATAGATTAAGACATGAATTACATCCAGACACAATTGTTAGCAGTCAATACCCCATTGATTACTTGGAAAAAAAAACCTTCAATTGAAACTTTCAAACACCATTGATTACAAAGACATTTTTTTAGAGTAATGTTACACCGATTAAAAAAAAAAGAGAGACTAACAGTATAGTTTAAATGATGTGGCAACTGGTACAGTAAGTAAATATTAATTTTAAATAAATAAAAATAAGATAAAAAAATATTATTATTATAATACCATTTAGTACCTGTTCTTTTTATCACATCTTTTAATCAATTTTAATTCATAATTGCAGTAGTAATATAATACGTAGTTCTTGAGGGTATTTTGGTAACTCAAAAATTGCCGACACAGAGCGGCGCAGACAGATGGGTTGCATACTGACCAATCAAAGAAATGGTAAATTATGCTTTGTACTCTTTAAAATTAAAATTTTAAATTCTTTATTTGCATTTTAAAAAATTAAAATTCTCATACTACATTCTCAGAATTAAAATGTTTTTTTTTTCCATTTTTTGAAAAATTATTTTATTTTTATAATACTTAATGTTAAGTGATTTTAACAAAAAAAATTAGTACTCAATAATTTTTTGACAAATAATTTTTGTTAAATTTTTTATATTATCATATGTTCATATATATTTATTTTTATAATACTTAATGTTAAGTGCTTTTAACAAAAAAAATTTCTACCTTTTTGTTTGATAGGGGATGTAGTATGAGAGTTTTAATATTTTAAGATATAAATTAAGAATACAACAATTTTGTGGGGTATCAAGTGTTATTTAATCCAAGAAGAAAACACAAAAAAATTGATAGGGGCAGAGAAGATCCTCTCCCCACTCATGGCTCACTACGCTTCTTTCCTTGAACTGTTAAAGCCCAGGACACCTCTGTGTCTCGCTCTCTCTCTCGCTCTCGCTCTCTCTCTCTCTCACACACACACACTCTAGATATCTGGCTGGAGTGGTTGATATCCCTGTTCTAGTGTGGGTGTATGTGTGCAAGGGACAAACCTTGTACTAAGTCCCAACAAATCTCTCTCTTCCTTTGTGTGCAGGACCTGGAAGCTTATATATCCCTCAGAACCTCAACAAAGACAACCCATTGAACAGGAAAAGTTAGAATCACGATGCCGTGTTACCGATTATTGCCATTTTCTATTCTAACTACCATTCTCTTCTTCTCTTTAACTTTCTTTACCTTCTGCCGGGGAGGGTCTCATTTTCCCACCATCCAAGCAACACACTTTTCAGGTACTCTACTTTCTCTTCTTGGGTTCTGTGGTTTTCCCCCAAATATTTTCTTTTGACACCAGTTTACTTCTGTTTGGATGGATGGTTTTGTTACTGGGTTCGCTTTTTGATTTTCAGGGAAAGTTATTGAAGGAAATTATCTGATTTCTAGGGGGACCAAAAGGGTGCTTGCTGAAGGAACCAATGATGAACCTGTTTTGAATTCATCTCTTGTGTTGGCAGCCAAAAGGACATATAGAAAAGATCCTCTAGATGATTTCAAGAAATATACCGGAGGTTGGAACATTAGTGAGCGCCATTACTGGGCTGTAAGTTTTTTAGTATCTCTTATTTGCAGAAATTTATGTCCATGTTTTGAAAATCACCTATCTCTGGTAAAATACACCAGGACGGTAACCATATGTTTGATTATTCTTTTCAAAGGAGATGTGCTACACGATAGTAATAAACTCTTTCTCTCTACCTTATTCCTCCAAAATTGATAAATGCCCAGATTTTGTCATAGGTTTCTAGGACTATTGTCGAGAAAATTTCCTAGTTAGGCTAATTGAAACCAGTTAATTGGGTCATTCGTGGTGAAAATTATTTGATTATCTGTATTTGTTGGATTTCTTTGCCGTTTAATAGTGTTACATTAGGCCTAATTTGATGGACAGCAACATGATAAACTGGACAATTGATGTTGGTTAAAGTTTGGAGTAAGCAGTGAGAGATTTAAGTTGGGGGCGGGGCCAAGGGACTGCTCAATTGGTAAGGACTTATACTCCTTGGGTCATGACCTGGAGTGCAGCCTTAACAGGACCAGAGAGAGAGAGAGAGAGAGAGAGAGAGAGAGTTGGGGTTGATTGACTGAGCTGGATATATGAATATGACTAGCACTTAAAGATATGACTAACATTTTTTTGGACTTGTATAGGAAACTTCATAAAAAAAGTACCTATCTTTGGTATGGAATGATTATAATAATTTAAACATCATGAATGTTTTCCAAAGCAAATTATACCCCTGCGGCATTTTCTAATTCATAATGTGAACGATTCTGGTAGCATCGCAATAATAGTTTTATAATGTGGGTAATATATTTATATTACATGGCAATTCCATCTAATGACAAGGATGAATTTGGGCTATAAGGACAAGAACTGAAGGCAAAAGTTCCAATTTTCAAGTTCAAACTGTAGAAATGGTTCCAATTGCTTAGTTTATTCCTATCCTTTCTATAGCTTTCCCTTTTGCCAGATACATGGTTTTCGTAGTTTGTCCCTAGAAAGTTACAGTTTGGAGTCATACTGCTAAATGTTTCTTGTGGAGCACCACTAGTTAGTTAGAATAAAATGTCTCTCATGGTCATGCTAAGGTCCGATCTAATTTAGTTTTCAAAATTGGTGATTTTTCTCCTAACAAATGAGAGGCAAGTTTGATCACTTGGGTTGTGGTTCCCTTGGAATGTTCAGACTCAAATATAATCTAAAGAAAAGAATGATTACATAGCATGCTGCTTAATAATTGATTTGTGAAATGAAATGGGTTCAGTTGTTCTGCTACGCGATCTTAATATAAATTACTTCACCTATCATATATTAGATGCATAATACTCTTAGAGGATGCAATTCCTTAATGTGGAACAATAGTATAATCCTACTTGCATATTAAGCTTATCATCCCCAACAATCAAGCGATTTTGGTCATATTTAACATGAGGAACTGAGGATCATTAATAATGTACGTAGGTTAGCCGGAGTCATTCAGTTTTTGTGTTCTGTGAGGGATGCGTTGTTATAGCTGTGAAATCCTGTAATTTATTGTTCATCACATTACATAAGTAATTTATTCATCCCAACCCTTGGTTATTTATCACATCTCGTAAATAATTTATACTAATCTAAAGGGCTCCAAATGCAAGGTTGGGCAGGGGGAGGGAGAAATAGGGAAGAATGCACTAGGTACACAATAAAGACCAAAAGAGTTGAGACATAAGTCTCCTAGATCTGATTCCTCCGGTGCTTGAGCAATTATTTTCTCAAAGTTAGAATTCCTCTAGTCCTGTGCAGTAAGAGCCGTAATGTTGAATGTTATTTTTTTTTATATTTGTGTTGCCGACTTCTTGGTGATTCAGTGAATGAAAATCCTTTTTTTTTTCCTGGTGAAAATATCAAATCTTTGTACTGATTATTTACTCGAGTTGTAGTGGCTCTTAGATAACATCACCTCTGTTTAATTTGGTTTCCGGTTTATCTCGCTAGTCTAAGATGTTTTTTTCGTTCAACTCCTCTTCTCATATCAAAATTTATTTGGATGCAGTCTGTGGGTTTTACTGCTGCTCCCCTCTTTGTTATTGCGGCAATCTGGTTCGTGGTATTTGGCCTGTGCTTGTCACTCATCTGTCTCTGCTACTGTGTTGTCCAAGGGAGCCTTATGGCTATTCTCGAACAGCTTATGCTCTCTCTCTTATTTTACTCATACTTTTCACCATTGCTGCAATGTATTATCCCCCCCTCTCTCTCTCTGTATATAAATATGTGTGTGTGTGTGTGTTATTAGATATATCTCTTTCTTTCTGAAGGTGATATTTCAGT